TTGTGGGGTCATTTTTTTAGCACTGGAAAATTGCACAGAGTTGCCAAAGTAACATACGTTTTAAGTATTTGCTGATGTCATAGCATGTATGTTTAAATTCTTCAAATAAGATTAAAGGAATTAATTTATTGCTAATCTACATTTGTCTGTGCTCTTAATATGTTTCACTTCTTTATCACTTGATAAAATGAAATTTTAATTTGTTTTCTGGATTCAGACTAATTATGAAATATTTCAATCCAAAAGAATAACTTTGTCTCCCTCCAATATGGCCAGCAAAAATGGTTCTGTAAATAGTTAAAATATTCCCTGCCATAACTATTTTATAACATGGTTTGAGTAAAAAAGGAAAACTCTGGACATATGTTAGTTATTACATAATGGAAGTGGAGAATGAGAAACGTATTAACTGTGAAATGTGCATATTCATGTAATGAATCGGCTAGAAATACGTCTGTGTAGTCCTGTGTAATAGAAAAATGGCCTGTACTTGATGATACCACAAATTAGAGTTGAATTTCTATAACTAAACATGTTAGTGTAACTATTTACTTCAGGAGAGAGCCCTTTGGGTGTATGAAATTCTGTGTTTCCATTTGTGCGTTCTCTTCATTTTGGTTTTTAACTGTTGAATACTTATACTGTGTACAGTAAGTCACTGGAGTAGCTTCTCTAGGATGAAATTTATTTCAGCAGAAAAATAATCTCGTATGTAGTCAGTAGCTCCCAAAAGGTCCTTACGTGTATGTTTCTCGTTAAAGTAATGTAAATAATGTGCACTTAGGAGGTAATGTTTTTGTAATAAATCTTTTACCGTATCTTAAATTGTTTCAATAGATTTCATGGGGATCAGGAGTGCTATTACCAGGATGACCTGCGTGTATTATCTAGCTTAACCAAAAAAGAACATATGAAAGGTAACGAGACCATGCTGGATTTCCGAACGAGCAAGTTTGTGCTGCGTATTTCTCGCGACTCTTACCAGCTCTTGAAGAGGCATCTTCAGGAGAAGCAGAACAATCAGATCTGGAACATTGTTCAGGAACATCTTTACATCGATATCTTTGATGGAATGCCTCGCAGTAAACAGCAGATAGATGCTATGGTTGGAAGCTTGGCTGGAGAGGCAAAACGAGAGGCAAATAAAGCAAAGGTAGGAGGGAAAGATTGTTGCGCTCTTGTAATTGAACGGTTCTCCCTAGTTTTTCAGGGAGATACCTTAGTATAGACTGACAGTTGCCACTTGAGATCTTAAAAGACAGCATGAACAGAACAATGGAAGAGAACTGTACAAATAGTTGTTAGGAATAGAGAGACCAAGATGTGTCACTCTCTGGCAGAAGGAACCGTCCCTTTGAGAGACATCTTTGTATTCGGCTCACTGAACTAAAGTAATTCCTGAATCATTCTGTGGTTTTAAAATAGGCACCTGACTAATTGGCTTTCTCTTTTGTACAACAGATGGAATTCTTACCTGCTGCCAGTTATTACTGCAAGGGCTGTTTGTGTAGATCTTGACAGTGTAGTACCACAGTATTACACAGGGGAATTCTGTAAGCTGTAGGGATTCTGCTTTAAGGAAGTGCTAAGAGATGGTGGGAGAACTTAGAGTTGTCCAGATCAGCTGCTGGGTAAAACAGCAGAGCATGTACTACATTTCTTAAGGGCTAACCAGTAACATATGCAGTAATATTAAACATAGCGGTTTTAGAGGGGCAACTCTATTGCTTGGGCTATTACCTTGAAAAGTTTCAATAAAGAAAAATAATTTTCAGTAAGAACAGCAATTACTGTTTTGTCTCATGTGTTTTATTGGCTTGCAGGTTTTTTTTGGCTTATTGAAAGAACCAGAGTTTGATGTGCCTTTGGATGATGAAGATGAAGAAGGAGAAAATGAGGAAGGAAAGCCAAAGAAGAAAAAACCTAAAAAAGATAGTGCGGGGTCAAAAAGTAAAAAACAAGACCCTAATGCTCCTCCCCAAAACAGGTACCAAGGGAATGATGTGGAGAGAAGGCTTGTTAAATCCAGTCTTGTCATGCCAAATCTGCATTGCAATTCACATGATGTTTTTAGCTCTTTGGCCATTTCAGCTGTACACAGCTTTAGCCATAAGACTTCTAAGGGAGGTAATGGAAAGCTTAGCATATAACCCTCTGTCTTTGTCCTTCAAGTCAATCTAGACTTCCCTTGCTAAAATTTTACTCAATTACCCACTAATCTTTTTCAGGTCATACTCAGTTATTTATCTTGTTCCACTGCTTATCTGAAATTTTTAAAGCTACTGCCTCTTGTTTTCATCAGTTAATCTCTTACACAGTCTTTCATTTTTTCTAATTCTTGTTTCGTATTTCAATATTGAGGTACAGGGTTGCATGCAAAGGTTTAACTTTCTTTGTTTAGATTAACAGTATGGAAGGTGCTTTTAGTTCATAAAAATGTGTGCTTCTTGTAGAATTCCTCTGCCTGAACTGAAAGACTCTGACAAGCTGGATAAAGTAATGAATATGAAGGAAGCTGCAAGGCGTGTGCGTCTTGGCCCAGAGTGCCTGCCCTCCATCTGTTTCTACACGTTCCTTAATGCTTACCAGGTTGGTAAAAGAACAGTTTGTGTAATATGGAAAAGGGAATCAAAATTATAAACATCACTTTTAATAAAGAAAGACGACTTAACAGATTTGGCAAGGGTTATTGGAGTATTTGGAATAACTGTTGCAAATTTTATGTTCCAAAATCTCCAAAATTCTCTTTAAAGGCTCCTTAAACTATTTAATTTCCAAGTTCCTTGGTTTTGCTCTGATTTTGCCATAATTCCTTCTTTTGTTTTTTGGTGTGGGACCCTTATACAGGGCCCTGATACAGAATACAGTAGATGTTTTTCACCAAAATACTGGAAAACAGTACTGTTTTGTCACTATTTACTGTGGTTCATTCATATAGCTTTATTTTTAATTTGCAATAATTTGTGTCTTTGTCTCTTCTGGAATAATTCTCTTATTTTTGTGAATAAGTTGAGTTACTTTATTTTCATTTAAAACGTTACTTCGGATTTTGTATCTTTCATTATGCATTCCAAACATTACAAACTATAAATGCATGTCTTGTGCATAGGGTCTGACTGCAGTGGATATTACAGATGACTCTAGCATGATTGTAGGAGGCTTTGCTGATTCTACTGTCAGAGTGTGGTCTGTGACTCCGAAAAAGCTACGCAGTGTGAAAACAGCAGCAGGTAATTAAGACAGTAACACTTAATATGAACATGCACTACTTGTGACAGCTGTGTTTTGCATGAGCAAAGAAAGATGTCTGTGGCGGGAGAGTTGTCTGCAGCAGTTGGATGCTTTTACTTTGAAGAAACAATATGTGCACAGATATATATGATCGCATCTTATGTGCTACCATTAGAAACACTTCTAAATGAATGAAAAATTTGGTTGTGAATGCCATGTGTCTGTGAGGTGGTCAGTGCACAGAGCTTGGAACTAGCCATAACTAGGGTGGAACTAGCCATCTTGCTCCTAACTGGATGGTAACTACAGGGTGTAGTAGACAGTTGGGTTTAGGTGATCTAGGGCGGGACCTGAGATACCCTGAGGGAATTTACAGGAGAGAACTCTTAGAAGGATGGAGGACAATGTCCTGTAGCTCAACACCTATGCAAATTCAAGGAAACCAGGCTTGTTTAATTCTGCTCTTTATGTAACAGTGTTGCGGTTTGCAGCTAGATACCACGCAAATGTTTCTTAATCTTGATATTTAACTGAGATGTGGTCATTATGTTCAGGAGCCTGCAGATTGAAAGTTATTTAGAGTTGCGTGTAGCGTGCAGCTGTCGAAACTTGTCTGAAAAGTGTGTTCATGGCATATTAACTTCCTAGGAGAACATGAAAATTTGGCATCTCTGTCAAGGGAATGTTACTGTGTTTGGAGGCTGAAAAAAAATTGTATAAAAATAACACATGCCAGGATTAATTTATTTTAGCTTTTAGTTAAGACTTAAGAAATAGTGTTTATTTATGTAAAGCATTAATTTCACCTTTTACAATGGTAAAAAATACTTTAAATGCCGTTATAGATTTCAGACTTAGTAATTCTCAGGTACCTTATCACATTCATGTCATACTTGCCTCTTTTAGAGAAAATATTATTTGTTTTCCTGTTCATGGCATTTATTTTTGAACTTCTGGCAATTATTACGATACATGAACTTTGCAATATTGCAGACCTCAGTCTCATCGACAAAGAATCAGATGATGTCTTGGAGAGGATCATGGATGAGAAAACAGCAAGTGAGTTGAAGATTTTATATGGTCACAGTGGACCTGTCTATGGCACCAGCTTCAGTCCCGATAGGTAAAATAAGTTTACAAGCTAACTAGTTTGCTTGTCCTGAGTTGTAATTGTATGCTACTGAACGCAAACCTGTTCTTAATGCAGCTTTTCCCAGAAGATTAAAGCAATTCTTGTTTATGTAGCTTATAAGAAACTGTGCGAGCGTAAGTGCTCATTATGCTCAGGGTGCTGGGCACTGTCAGCTGTTACTGAAATCAACTGGAGCTGAGGATGCCAGCACCTTTTTTGATGATCAGGATGTGGATGGAAAAATAGACCATCTTTTTTGCAAACTGTAGCTTAAGCTGTGTTTAATGGAAGTGTAGAGGAAAAATACTGCAACATTGATTTCACTTATAGTATTGCAAAACATACAACCAGACTGAGTAGTGTATCGGTACACCTGTTCAAGTTTCTCATATCCTATGGAGGCTTTATCTTTAAACTGTATGGAATAGTATCTTTAAAACAAGAGATTTATAACTTTCATGTAGTTATGAGAGTCTGGACAGTAGAAAAGAGGTTTAAATGTCTATAAAGTTTTGCTTTTGCATGTGTCTAGACAGGAAATAACCACTACAGAAACATAGCTGAGAGGTAAACTTTTGTGGAACATAAATACAGACTATAATTATCAATTGAGAATGTGAATATGATATGAATTCTCTTTCAGGAAATCCTGAAATTATGTTGAGAGTTGTATTAAAGAATTTTATTCTTTTTCATATAACTGAAATTCCTGACCAGCTCTGTGGTGGGTTTTGTTGTTTTGTTTGGTGGTTTGGGTTTTTTTCTCCCTTCAGTAGTGCTGTAAGTGTCATCAGAATTAGTCACCGATGTCCAATCATCTCATTTTTTGTATAAGGGCTTAGCACTGGATTCTGCTTGAATTGGTTATTATTACGTACCCTACTAAAGTGTTGATTTATATGTGACATGCTGAAGAGATGCTGTGCAGTGGACAATTTTTCTTACTATGGACATGTCACAGTGTTTGTCCAATGTTTATACAATCAGTGTGTAGGTTTGATATGTAATATGTTTTACTTTCTCCTGTGACAGGAACTATCTGTTGTCCTGTTCTGAGGATGGCACTGTCAGATTGTGGAGTCTCCAAACATTCACATGTTTGGTGGGATATAAAGGACACAACTACCCAGTATGGGATACACAGTTCTCTCCGTATGGTTATTACTTTGTGTCAGGGGGACACGACAGAGTGGCTCGGTAAGAAACTGGATGGGTTTTTTCCTTGTCTCGGTCAGTTTGTGGTGGATTAAACATGAAAATGATTAGCTGATGTACTCTAACCTACTTCATTACTGGAAATAAATTTTATTTTATGTCAATTAAAATACTGAATAAATGTTCTAACGTAGGATATTTTTAACACACATCAGATTATTTGATGACTCAAGAGATGGTCATCTCTTATTTGACCATCTGATTATAGGTAATTTTTTCCAGTTGTTTTAGCATCTTGACAGAATATTCTTTATTTCTCCCTTTTGAAAAGTCTACTTTTCCAAAACAGATCCTATTAATTCAATAAACTGACCAGTAAGAAGCCACTGTGTAATTACTTCCTTTTATTCTTCATTCTGCAAGAGATACTGAACTTCGTTAGGGTTCTTTTTATTAATAAAGCTTTTCTTTTCAGCCTGTGGGCAACAGATCACTACCAGCCTTTACGGATATTTGCTGGCCATCTTGCTGATGTGACGTGTACCCGATTTCATCCAAACTCTAACTATATTGCCACAGGCTCGGCAGACAGGACTGTACGGCTCTGGGATGTTTTGAACGGGAATTGTGTAAGGATATTCACTGGACATAAGGTAAAGGCTATCACTCGCGCTGTGAAAGTGATTTTATTTCAGTGATGAGATTCTGAAGAGTAGTGTTCAGAACAAATACATCTTGACTGACTGAATGTGAATAGACTTAATTAACTTGTTTGGTGTTCCCCTCCCCCTAAATGTCTGTTTTAGGGACCAATTCACTCATTGGCATTTTCTCCTAATGGACGATTCCTGGCTACTGGGGCAACAGATGGAAGAGTTCTGCTGTGGGACATTGGACACGGCTTGATGGTTGGAGAATTGAAAGGGCACACTGACACAATCTACGCGCTCAGATTCAGTAGAGATGGGGAGATTTTAGCATCAGGTATAATTCACTGGAAACAGTGAAGTTTCTGTTATGTTCCAAAAGTCAGAAGACAAATGATATAATTGGTTCCTTAAATTGAGGAAGACAAAGTAGAATCACTTGCTTAGCAAATTCAGCAACTTGGAACTGCTAGTACAAGGTGAGTACTCCGCTGGGCTGTGGAGTATGACCCCTCGCTATACCAGGAACTAGAGGGAAGGTATTACACAGTTAGGCAGTAGTGGATGTTGGGATCTGAGTACAGTGTTGGGGGTGGAACTGAAGTTAGAAATAACTTTAGGGCAGACAAGAAGTGGCTGGACTGAAGAGGCACAGGATACTGGAGTGGGACATGCAGCAGGACTAAGAAGAAGAGAGGGGAAGGGACAGAGAGGAAGATGGATTATCCACATCCTTACTATTTCTTCATGGTAGGTTTTTGATATATAAATGTGTGTGTAATGTTAGCAATCAGGTCTATGAGAAGCAGAACTTGTGAAGCTGGCTTGTTTTTCCTGCCTGTCCACGTGGATTCTGTTGTGTCTAATGTAGCAGAGCTCCTTTGCCAGCTTTCCCTTCATGGAGGCACAAAGTTTTGTCTCTCCATGTTTAGTGAACTGTTTTCGTAAAATGCATAGGGATTTGATGAATTTGAAACTTGTTGTGTTTTGTCAACTGGTTGAAATTAGCCAACAAGTTCAAGTTAGTGATAAGTGAAGCAATGGACAGACACTCTAATTACATCAGGGCAATTTCCTCTTGAAACCAGGCTAGGAATGTTCTAGTTTTATTTAGTATTCTGTTCCTAAATGCAGTGCAGTGAGAATCCTCAGTGAGCTGCTGCTGCAGGACTGAGAGCTAACAGACAGGGTACAGGTTTGATCCAGCCTGCAGAGTGGTTACTCCCATTTATCTGCCACCACTCCAGTGAAAGCACAGGCTACTGGGTCTGTAAAATTCTGCTGTCTTCCCTGTATCGAACAAAGAAACTGTTACTATGTGACCTAGAATCATAAATGTTTCCTGAAATTGGCATCTAGCCCACAGGAAGGTCCTCCTTTTTCAGTGCTAGGTGATACAATCCGAACCCTGGTTTTCTGAGAGAGTACTTCTTTGTGTTTTATCCACAGATTAGATTACAGGAAAGCTGAAATCCTGGTAGTTTTTATGTGTGTTCAGTATGTTAGAGGCTTGTTAAAGTCTGTTTCCTTGCAGAATGAAGGCATAAGTCTACTGTTATGAGCAAACCACCTTTTTGAGCTTTAATTTCTGTTACCTTGCTCCCTGGTAACTTTTTTATTAATAAAACACTTTACACTGTTGTTCTTTTTTCTTTTTAGGTTCAATGGATAACACAGTTCGTCTGTGGGATGCTGTGAAAGCATTTGAAGATTTAGAAACAGATGACTTTACTACAGCCACTGGACATATAAACTTGCCTGAAAACTCACAGGAGCTGTTACTAGGTACATACATGACCAAATCAACCCCAGTTGTGCACCTCCATTTCACTCGCAGAAACTTGCTGCTGGCTGCAGGAGCCTACAGTTCACAGTGAATCAGGAAGCTGTAAGACTGACTGTGCCGTCATTGCAGTGGTGACCTCAGGATGGGAGACGAGGAGGAATGAATGTCTTGTACAGGTGGATTGAGTCTGTCGCAGGAAAAACAAAATTATGTAAACTGATGCAAGCAGCATCTTCTCAGTTCTGCTATTTCATATTTATCCACAGTTTGAAAATGCTGGAGATTGACAGGACGTTGTGGCTGTAAAAGAAGGAATTGTTCATGGTGCTTTTGATAAATATATATATATATATGAAAATGGCTGTCTCCTCTCAGAGATGGTATTGAGCTCTGCTGAAACTTGTGGAAAGCTAACAGCCTTGATATGTGTTCTCAAATGATTTTTTAAAAGCACTTAATTTATGATTAGCAAATATTTAATCAATCTCAGACACACTCAAAAACTGTTCAGTTTCAGGAAATGAATTTAATGTAGTTTAATTCACTGGAACCTGGGCTGGGCAACAGGGTATCACAGCAACAACCAGGGCATTGAAAGAGGAGCTCCAGCAGGCAGAGACCTGTGGGAACTGCCACAAAGTTACAGGTATGGGTTCTATGCATCCAAGTACCGAGTCCTGAAGATTTCAAACTCCTGTGCTCTTCTGAAGTATCAGAAATGCAGATCTTTCTCTTCTGTGTTTTCGCAGGTGACCAATGCTTTAAGTGTTATAAGCAACCAGAAGTGCAATGTGAACTCTATTTACTTTCATACTTTATTGTATGGGAAAAAAAGGGAGAGGGACTGAGGCACAACTGAAATACCCATTATTAGAAAAGCAGACTTAAACCCTTTTAACTTGTATTAGATCTAAAAGAACTTTAAACACCTGCATCCTTTCTGCGCAAGGTTTACATATATCAAAGTTTTAAACTAGCCAAGAAATTGAAATGTTATTGTTGAGTAAAAGGACTAATCACTCCAAAGTGAATTATCATCAGTTTGCTTTTGGCCAACTTGTCCGCTGCAGTGAGAGTTTCTACCCACAAGAACATTGTTTGCCAGTAAGTCCTCCTGGACAACTAATAAAGGTTCAGTACTTTATTTCTAAGGAAAACATGCAGAACACTTGGAAGTACAACTTCCTTCTGGGTCTTTGAACAGAAACCACCACCATCAAAGGCCAGGCCCAGTTTGGTGTGAAGCTTGTGGGTTTGTTTTTGTTTGGTTTTAAATCTCTTACAAGCTGTGTACAAGGAAATCTGTTTTGTGTTCCTCATTATTTTCCAGTAAGTGCTTGGACATTTGAGCAATCTGCTGGCTCACTAGTGAAAATAAAAGCAACATTTTTCTAAGGCAAAGTAAATGGAGAACTACCTCTCCTCTCATCCCTTCTCTAACTCTTGGAGTAATGGTATATTACAGGCATTATACATCAAAATAAAGGGTGGAAAATTCATTAGGAAGCTCACCTGGATGCTTCCTTAAAAGAAAAAAGATTAAAACTAAATTGCTATGGATTATTTTTTTTGGTGTAATGATACCTCAAAGAAATTTCCTAGGTCCTGCTATGACCAGTTGGATTTAAGTACAATTATGGTGAATCAAACAAGTTACCTAAAACAAAGCATGTACAATTTTGACAGCTTAAAGAAAACACTGCCATATTGTCTTTGTATTTTGTACAGTTTTATACTTTTGATATTATAATAAATATTAAAAGCACATAGCTTGTGTGTATATAAGAAGGTATTTTCTTCCCTTGATGGCTGCAAGAGGAGCGCTTGTGACTGTGAGCGCTCTGCTAAGAGAAAGTAATTCAGAAACAGGAATTGATCACTATTCACTTCATGTGAATCCCATTGTAAGGTAGGTGATAGGTTTTAGCTAAGTAGATTTATTACAACAACCATTATTCATCTGAAAAGCAGAGGCCACTTATGCAAACAAACTCATAGAGGAAGATGACTAGATTTATTGATAAGGCCCAGCATGTACAAATGGCTTTAAGATACATGAACAAGAGTGCCAGAGCCCAAACACCTGTAATTTATCCCTCCTTTTTTTCCAGCAACCATGCAGGCCTCCTGCTGCCCTTGATATGGGAAGTGTATTTGCATGCTTTAGCATCAGAAGTCCCAGGTTCAGCCCCTGCTGCTGGCACCCTTACAAGAATCATGGTGCTTCACAGCACTGATGTGGCATCTAAGGAAGGTACTGAGTTGTAATTGAGATACAGACACTGTGGAGAATGGGACAGACAAGTTTTAGTGTTGGGCAGGGAGGGGGCTGAATGTACCTGGCTGTGGCAGGAACACCTCATTTATTAAGAGGCTATGCCCAGGAAAAATAAGCACTGAACTACTCCAGTCACTGTTTATGAACATGCAGCATTAGAAGAGATTAACATCAAAGTAAGCCATTCTTTCTGACAGTTACCGCTGCAAGAAAGACCAACAACAAAAAAAGCTCAAATTCCATAATCTGAGCAGTCTATTTTGGGAGGTTCTCCATCAAAACCAAGCAGGTTCTGTGCAAACTACAGACAATAGAGGCAGAAGCTGTAATCTGCATTGTATTAATAATAGTGAAGAAGTCATGGTTTCCATGTAAGCTATCAGCTTGGAATGCAAAACATGGGAGCAAGGTAACTGCAAGCCACGTAAGCTCACTGTTGCCCACTATGACATGGAAGTGTGGAGATGCCTTGGTCAGCTGGAAGCTCTGTGTCACTGTTGTGCTCATGCTGCTGAGGCCTTTCCTAGGCTACCACCATGTGCTCAGAACACTTCAGGGTGTGTTATAACAGCAGAAGAATTGAGTTAATATAGTAATGACAGGAATTAGCTGCTCCATCTCCACTACAAACAACTGTTTTTGACAGAGGGGAAAAAAAGCAAAGTGCCACATTTATGCTTTTTTGCACCATTTCATATTTCCAATAAAACAAGTAATTATTTATACTTTATTAGCCACAATCGGTCATCAGCTTGCATTACATTGACACGGACTGGAGGTTCAGACACACCAACAACCTGCCAAGAGAAGAGAGATCAAACATAGCAAGTCTTGCACAGCAGTGCTAGTAACCGAGCATCCCCCTTCCTCAGGCCCCAACAATCCTGGTCATATATTTGGTCTGACTCAAATTTTTTAACACTTGGTTGTTGCTATAAAAAACCAAGTCTAATCATTTCTATATGGGCTTTGCATAACCACGGGTGCAATATATACAGTTCCTTGTGAGGTGCTCCTTTACTGTGTTCAGAGGAAGGTTTTAACAGACTGCATTAATCTCTGCTTGGAATTCTCTAATATAATTAAGAAATAAGTCATCAACTACTATTCTATTATTTCAGTATCCTACGAAGCAAAAGTTATCCCTATTTTACAGCAAAAGGGCAGACCAGAGGCACCTGATAGTTGTAGGGA